ACAAACGTGTTGGTTTTTCTCTGAGGGGCCACAAGATATCTAGCCCCTGGGCTATAGTTTGAGTCTTAGGATAAAATAGCTAACACTTACTAACCATTAATTGCGTGCCAGGCAATGTGCTAAGTAATTTGAAAGTAATGTTTTCTTTACCCAGATACAATACTACATTTATATTTGTCTAGATATGTACCTAGATATGATCAGATACTAATCTTTCAGATAAGGAAAAGGAAGCTCAGAGATATTAAATAATGTTTCTTATGTTATACATCCAATCACTGACAAAGCCAAGATCCTCATCTTGGACTTTCTCACTGCAGAGCCCATTCTCTCAACCACTATGTTATAAGGACATTTTTGAATGAGAACTCAGTGGTATGACTTTAATAAGCAAAAAAACCCAGTGAACTGTAGAGTCCTTGGGGAAATAGGGGTTGGAGAATGGAGGTGGAAATGCACTAAAATAATAGATTCCAGTATTGATCTAGTGAGCAGGGCTGAGGAGAACGACATTAGTAGGATTTGTAAAGTTGTTATTAGTATTTGCCAAAGATGTTTGCCATCTCCCATGTTCTTCTTGAGAATGTTGCCTTTTGAATCTCTCCAAAAAAAAAAAAAAAAAAAAAGATAGTAAAAAGCATCCTTCTTCCTTCCTTCCCCCTCTAAACATTTATTCAATCTTTTTAACTGTAGGCATCAAGCTAGTTACCAAAAGTAGAGAAATGTGGAGCATGGGGCAAGATTTTATATTTGATATGTTTGATTCACAGATGCAACAAACTGAGTCTGGGAAGAAAATCTGGGGCAAGATTTGGATGAGCACTGCATCTACACTGAGGAATCTTGACTTCAATGACATCCTTACATACGGAGTTATTTAGGAAGAGAATGCTGTCAGGGTTGTGATTTCTAAAACCCACTGCGGACCAGTGATGATAACATTTGTCACATGGTGAACATTAAGAGGTTCACAGATACAGTGAGATGAATACCTTAAACTCATAGGTAAAAAGTTTTGTCTTATGTGTATATGGGTTTGTTTTTCTGAGGAGAGTGTCCAGCTTTATTCTCAAAGGGTCAGTGACACAAAATGATTAAGATCAAATGCCAATACAGTTGTCTCAGAAGGAAGGAAAAGTAGAGGAAAATAGGTGAAGGTTGGTGAAAAAACAGTCAAAAGATGAGGACGAGCTGAAGTAGTAATCATGGAGATGGTGCTGGGAGGTAGAAAGGCTATTTGGGACCTGGGATTGACAACTGGAATAGATAATCAACCAGATGTGGAAGGTGAGAGAGAGGAAAGATGGAGCTTCAATGCCTCTTGATTTTCTAGCCTAGGAGCCAGGAGAGGAAATACAGGAGCACCTATAAGTTTAAGGGGGGGAGGGGTTGTTAAATTTAGTATTATTCTAAGTATTGCTTGCTCCTTGGAATGTGATTATGGTATTGCTATTTTATCTATGGGTCTTAAAACATTTACCAGGAAGTATAATTTAACTCATTGTCATAATGAGCAAATGAGGGAAAACATGGTGATTTGAAATTTGTACTTTAAACACCAGAAGGATCTTTTTCTATAAAGCTTGGATATATACCTAAAACTGAGGGGCATGAATTCATATCCCATTTCCAGTCCACCTACCCCTCCATAGTTTCAAAAATAAAGGTGGTAATTCAAAATGACTTAGGATATGTTTACATAATGCCAGGTATTTAGACAAATTCTTAAGAAGTGACAGTGGGTATAGAAGCAACATAGCTGTTGCCTGAATTCTTCCTATTTATAAAGCTATTTGACATCACGTAGATATAGTTCAAGTTATATAGATGCCTTGGCTATTAAAAGGGTAAAACCTTATAAAGAAGATTTTGAGTGAACACTGTGTGCCAGTATTCTATCACTTGGTAAAAGTAACTATTTAACAACATATTTTTATGGTATTAACCCTGTTAAGGTAGATATTATTATCTTTGCTTCACTAATGAGGAAAATAAGAATGAGAAACAAAAACATGCTATGTTTGTTCAAGTAGGAAGTGGCAGACTCTGTAGCAGAACACTTCTAGTCCCTGCTCCCTATGTTATTTGACCACCTCTGGACCTCTCATCAATGGATCCCCTTCCTTTTCAGTGCCCCATCCCTTTATGCCTTCTTTTCACTCTGCAATCAGTTTAGACTCCAGAACCCACAGTTATAACCAACCTCTTGCAAACCCTCATTTTCTTAGCCTCCCAGTTCTTCCATCTTTTTCAACCAGCAAAGCACAATCCTTGAACCCAGTCTTGCCCTCTTCATACCTATCCCACAGTCACTGTGGGCTAGAAAAGAAACAGTCATGCTCACTGGTCTCGCCTCCAGTTCAAGTGGGCCCTCTACCCTACCTGGCAATCTGGCCACATTTGTCCAGTCAATTGACTCTTTCATCATTTAAGACATCCATGGTCAAGGTTTCTCATTTCTCAAATTTCCTTCCCTGCTCCCTTCTCCTTACTTTCCAGTGAAGTCTTTGCTTCTTGTTTGACTAAAGAAATAGTCATGAGCTGATGGTATATACAGCTATTCTCATGACCAAATTTACCAACCAATCTGCTATCTTAACTTACAGACTCAGCCTTCCTCCTATTTATATATTTACTCATAAGAATTGTTCATACATTTACTAAGACTAATACCTCCACTGATGTACTGGAGCATACCCCCTTTTCTTTTCTTTCTTTTTTTTTTTTTTAAAGATTTTATTTATTTATTTGACAGAGAGAGATCACAAGTAGGCAGAGAGGCAGGCAGAGAGCAGGGGAAGCAAGTTCCCCGCTGAGCAGAGAGCCCGAGGCGGGGCTCAATCCCAGGACCCTGAGATCATGACCTGAGCCGAAGGCAGAGGCTTAACCCACTGAGCCACCCAGGTGCCCCCGTACCCCCTTTTCTAGGACTTTGTTCCTGCAGTTGTCTTCTCTCTATCCTCATTTTCCCCCTCGACAGATCACTGCCATCACCAGACAAACAGGCTTTACTATCTTCCATCTTAAGAAAACAAAACTTGCCCTTGATCCACATTCCCTTCCAGGTCTTACCTTATATTTTCCATCTCTTTTAAAACAAACTCCTAAAAAGAATTGTCCATTCATAATTGCTCTCTCTACTTTCCTACCTTGAATTCCCTTTTTAACCTGTGCTAATCAGGCTTTAGGCTCCCAGTCCTTCAAAAACAATTTTTAAAACCATACTTGTCAATGTCACCCAAAACAACATGTTGTCAAATCCAATGATGAATTCTCAGTACCACTTTCAAACTCTTAGGAACTCTGACAAAGCTGTTTACTTCTTCCTTCTTCAAACGCTCTGTTCTCTTCTGGAATGATATGTTCTGGATTTTCTTCTCCTTCACTGATCACCCATTATTAGTATTGTTGCTGGCTTCTTGATCCCTGCTCTAACTCAAAGATTCAGTGTGGCTCTCTGTTGTTTCCTTGTCTCCACCTGCATTTACTCTTGGGTGACCTCATACAATCTGATCACTTCCAAATTTCTCTCTTCTCCTCACTTCCTCCATGAGTTATGAAATACCAAACTACCCACTGAATATTTGGAGTATCTATTATGTATATTATATTTAATATGGCCAAAACAGAACTCCTGGTTTCCTTCCCCCTCAAAATACTCTTGATTCTTTTCTGTCTTTTTCAAAACCTAGAAATTATTCTTGATTTCTCTCTTCCCCTCATTTCCTGCATCAGCAAATTTTGCCAGCTTTACCTTAATCTCATCACTTCCCTCCATGGCTAGCAACACTTCTAGTCTAGGTCTCTTGACTGGACTACAAAAGCCTACAAACTGATCTCATTACCTCTACTCTTCCCTCTTCCTTCCACCCAGTTCTGTTCTCTACAGAGCAGCCAGTGTTCTTCTTAAAAGGAATTATGTCCTGTCCTCCCAAAACGACTTCAATTACTTCTCATTTTACTGAGAATAAAATTCAGACTATATAATGGCCTCCCTGGTGTTACCTGATCTGGCCACAGCTTACCGTTCTGACCTTATATTCTACTACTTTTCCACTGATCAAATGTGCTGTATTTACACTGGCTTTCTGGCTTTCCTTTCATACAGCAAACTCACCCCTGCCCCAGAGCCTTTGCACTGCTTAATTCACGTACCCAGAATGCTGTCAGACCAGATATTTACAGAACTCCCATCATCAAGAAGTATAGAGCATCTTAAAAGCATAGTATATCAGAATTAGAAGAGTCTTAGGGATCTTCAGAACCCATCCTAGCATCTTAAACCTGAAAAAATTTGAAGCCCAGCCAAGTTGAGACTTGCCCAAATCCACACAGTTCGTGACCAGCCTGACACCTCCACCTCCCCTGACCAAATTCTCTCTCCTTTAAATTCTATTAGACGAACTAATTACTCTGTGTATGGCATTCTTATTGGTTTGTATTCAAATTAACTATAGTTGGTTTTAAACTACAACATAATCTGTCCAGCAGAATTAAATGCTTCCAAATTATTTTGACATCTTCTTTCCTAGGGCAATTGGGCTTCAGTGAGTGACAAAGGGTAGAGGAAAGAGGATGGGAATGCAGGGGTGGTGGTATTTTGATTCCATAGAAGTATTTGGCCTTTCCATGTGAAATCAAAGTGCCCCACCCTGGTGTTAATTCCATTCTCTTGCTATCCTTCTGGAGCAACTTCCGGACACCAATGCCCAGAGGAGAAAACTGATCATATATATACTCACCTCTGAGTGACTTTTCTAAAGTACAGAACTAGCTCCTTCATTTCTCTCCTTAAAATCCTTCTGTGGCCTCCTCTGCCCTCAAGATAAATTCCAGTCTCTGTCACTAGGCTGCCAGCCCCTCATAGCCCATGGTTCATCATTAATCTCGTCCCCTCCCACTTCCTTTCCTATGACTACTGCTCCTGCCCTGGTTCTCAGTGATTCAGGCACACAAGTGTCAAGTGCATTTTTACCTCTCCAGCCCTCGCCCTTACATACCTGTCCTTTGTAACGAGAAGCAGGTGGTTACCTCTTCTGGGCATCGTGGGAAGGCTTTCTTAAGCAATGTCATTTGCTTCCCCAGGATCTTGAACATCTTGTGTGTGTCCCCATTAGAGCATTTGTCAGGGTAGGAAGGAGTTTTGTTTGTTTTTTCAGTTCTCACTGCCCTGCTAGATTGCGAGCCCTTGAGTTGTTATTCTTTGGGTCTCCATAGAGCCTCGTTCAGGACCAGGCACAATCGTCACTGAGAATGTGCTGGATGAATGAGCAAGGGAATGAATGCGACCAGCAGGCTGGCAGGGAGTGAGAAGAGCCTCCCCCAAGAATATTTTAATGGATTCTCATCTGCTGCTACCTTGACCACGCCTCTTTCCACCCCACTTATATTTCATAGACTTTACAATAATCTTTCCCCAGGGTTAAAGAGACCAATTACTCTTGTGAGGCTCCTTCTGGCAGGCACTGCCCCTGGCTCTAAAGGGCCTCTTGAGCCATCTCTCCAGTCCCAAACGTGAATGTGCTGTGGGATTTTATATTCACTTATTTTTTGCAGTGCACTCACTCCTAGTAGAATGCAAGATGATATCTAGCCGTGGATTTTTAAAATAGATATAAATTTATTTATATATGACTTAGGAAGAAGCCTTTTCCTATTTATGATGGCAAATTATGCTGGTTAAAAAAATTATCTGGGTTTAAAAAGTGAATCAATTTAACGAGAAACATTACATTTACATAACCTAGATATATGGCAAAACTAGTGAAGTGGTGCCTGAATGACTAATGATTGGGAAATACTGATTCCACTCATGTAAGCGTTCATTCATGTGTTCATTCATCCAGTGTTTATGCCACACCACAGACCAAGCCCCGTGTTGTGTAAGGAGTATATAGATGATGAGTACTTTCTGCCTTGGTCCCTGTCCTTTAAATTTTAGATACGCCCCCTGGGCACTCTGCACATTCCTCTACTGGATGCTGAGAACAATTTGTTAACATTCCCAGTGATGTGGGATTACCAGATTGGGTGGGAATGGAAACAGGAAAATGTATGCACATATACCTGCAAATTTACATAGATGTGTGTGTTCCTATGTGTGAACATGTGAGGGTGGGCTGGGTTCACTGTTTCAAACAATAGAATATGTCAGAGGATATATGCACACACATCCTCATTCACACACAACTGTCTAAATTCTAGAATTGGAAATCTATACTGCATGGAACAGTAACTTGCCAACAGTGGAGTTGTAAGGTAGACCATGTGCAATGGAAAGAGAATAGACATTGGCATCAGATCAGAATTCAAATCTCAACTTTGCCGCCTACTGCGAAACTTTGGGTAAACTTCTTCACCTCTCTGGAGTTTCAGTTTTCCTCTGTAAAATGAGAAGACTGGACTGGATCAGTGACAGAAAATATAGTTCACTGATTGAGTGTACTGTACTGGCTTGGGTGGGAAGGTCTGAGGGCAGATCCTGGTTGAGTGGGAAAATGTGCTTGGATGACTAGTTAAGTCTAACGTGTCTGTGGGAGGGCAAATGGAACCATTGGTTATGTCTCATGTGAGTGTGAGAAGGGAGAATGGCAACATCTTTTTAGATTGCATTTAGAGTTTCTGAGTTGGATTACCTTGAAGAGAACTTCAAGGTCTGACATTCTACAGTTTTCAATTCCATATTCTTCCTAACAGTAAGTAGTGAAGGAACATGGCAATAATGGTGTTTGGGGATGGTGATAGTGCTGTAGAATAGCTTCAATTTATCTCTGTAGTACTTGTAGGAGGCAGCCTCTAAGACGGCGCCCAGCGATCCTCACCTCGGTATATTTGCTGCTTTGTGTAATTCTCTACCTTTGACTGCAGTTGGATTTGTTTTGCTTCTAACAAAATAAATACAGTAGACGTAATGTGATATCATTTCAGAGATTAAATTATAAAAAGACTATCTATGGCATTTCTTTAGGTTCGTTCTCTCTCCATCTTTCTCTCAGATGCCATGTTGTGAGTCACTTGAAGGAGAGGTCCATGTGACAATGAACTGATATCTCTAGCCAACAGCCAAGGAGGACCTGAGCCTGCCAAGAGCCCCATGAGTGAGCCTGGGAATGGACCCCACTAACATGATCATTAAGATGATTGCAGCTTCAGCAGCACCTTGATTATATCATGTGGTGAGATCTTGAGGCAAAGCAGATATGCCGAACCTGGATTCTTGCCCCCTAGAAATCAAGAGGTAATAAATGTTTCAAGCTGCTAATTTTGGGGGTAATATGTTATGTAGCAATAGATAACTAACAGAACTCTAAGTTTGGCAATCACTAAGGCGAGTCTTGACAGGTAATGTGTAGGCCCAAGTTCCACACTCCATTTACTAAGAATTGCCATTGGCTCAGATCTTGATATGGCCGTCAAGATATCCTCTGCCCATACAGCCTCTTGAGTGAGGACCATGTTCACACCTTATTCTGAGCTCCAAACTTCCAACCAGTTTTCCTACATGTTCCACTGGCATCTCCCCCATAACATCTCTGAAATCCTCCCTAGTCTTGTTCTTCTGTTATTCCCTATTCTATGTCCAAGCCCTGAACTTTGGAATCATTAGCGATTCCCCCCTTGCCTTTACTCACTGTATCTTATATCTAGAGTCCCTCCAACTGCTGTCCAAGTTCACTACTGTAGTGATGTCCAAGTTCATTACTGTCCATGTCCACTACTAGGATTTCACATCCAATTAGGGTAATACCTTCTCACTATCTCCTTGCTTATGCCCAGACTTCCTCTGTGTTGCAACACAGAGATAAAATGCCTTGCTTTTCTATCACTGGATATTTAATATATAATGTGAAGAAGAGCATGTGAAGATAAAACTATCCCTTATCCCATCCCCATAAAATCTGGTTTAGTTTTGTATACTCTTCCAGTGTCTGCCCCTGTACAAAAGTATATTTCCTTTGATGGTAATAGTGATCTCCACACAATCTTTTACTTTCAGTACTTCATTAAATAATAAGTATTTTCCCAATTTGCTACCTTATCTTAGAAATTATCACATTTATTGGTGCATACTACTCCATGGAGGAGATATACCCTAAGATACTTAACTACTTCTCTATTGGATATTTGAGTCGTTGCTAGTCTTTGTTGTTGTAAGTAACACTGGATTAGTCTTCCTGGGTAAAACTGTTTGGCTCTCTTTAATTAATTCACTGTGGTAAATTTGGAGGAAGAGAATTCCTTGGTCAACTCTTCTGAAGACTTTTTGGTACAGGATAGAGGTCCCGAATTTTCTAGAAGATTGATCCTCAGTGATAAGAGTGTAAGACAACATCATTTTATTCACTTTATAAAAACATATATAACACACTTTTTAAAAGTCCTTAACTTTTTTTCCCCTGAGAGCTTCCTCCCTCTCCTTCTCTAACTCTTCCATGTGTTCCTTGTCCTCCTCTACCTCCTTCTTTTTCTTCTTCCTTTTTCTTTCAATATCAAGCTTTGCATACTGAGGTAGCGCCAGTGAAGAAGTCAAGGTAAACCCTGTGGCATCAGATTGCCTGGGCTCACAGCTCAGCTCTTATCTACTCAAGGAGCAAGAACACCTACCTACACAGTCCTCTCTCGGGTCCTTGCTCACCTAATTTGCAAAATGGGGATATATGACTACTTTCTCATGGAGTTGTTATGGTGCTTAAGTAAGTCAATATACATACAACAATTCAAACAGTGTTGGCCCACTGTGAGTGTGCAATAACTACCAGCCACTGTGACCAAATTATTTCAGATTATTTTCTTAGAACAGAGGCCCAGAAGGAGAATTACCAAGACACAGGCTAAGAGTACTTCTTATTCTCTTTCTAGGCATAATTTCCCAAAAATCATTGTGCTGGTTTCCACTGGTTGGAGGTGACATTTTCAAGGATTCTGCCTCACAGAGAGCTGAAGAGGAAGGCACGGAGGATAAACGATTCACTGTGGCCATGATGCTGCCTCAGCACTGGGCAACCAGGCCTGCGTCTGAGGAAAAGGCAGCCAGATTCACTGACGTTATGAAATCAGCCACGCAGGGGTGTCAGGCAACAAGCTGATACTGGAGAGAAGTCAAGGAGAAATATGATTGCCTCAGGACAGGGACTGCTCTTGTCAGGAAAATTCCTAGGAACATGAAGAGAGATGTGCTTAAACGGTTCTGTGAGTCATATCCAGGAATTTGTAGAACAAAAGGGCGATCACGCCATGGCCAAGCAGGGCTCCTGACAGAGAGCTTTTATGGAAGGACCAAGGAGGGCGAGCGAACACAGAGCGGACTGAGTCATTACCACCCTGGTGATTCCTGACCCACATTCACAAGAGCCAGTTCCCTTTCTTCTTCTTCTAGGAGGGACATTAATAGTTCAGTTCTTTTCAGTTGACAGGTTCTGGGTATCCGAGGGGCTTAAGAATGACTGACAGAGAGGTCTGCAAGGAACTGGATCCACGCTGATAAGACCTGACTTCCCAAAATAACTTACTCACCAGTTCCTTGTTGCCAGTAACTCAGCAGCAGTTGGGGTGTTTCATGACCGCCTTGAAAGTCAGGGTGCTGGTTGATGCTACTGCTACTGACGATGATGAAAAGAGGGCGAGCGTGTTGATAATGATAATAAGGAAAGGAAGGAGAAATTCATATTTTCTGAGTACACCAGTGTGGGGGGCTTTCATGAACTTGATTGTACTTTATTGTCACACCCCACTCCCTGCCCCCAGGAGAGGTGGAAATAATCACTCCCCTTGTACAAATGTGACTCACAGGGGTTAAAGGTCTTACCTATGGTCACACAGCTGCTGAGTGCCCACCAGGACCTTAAAATTTCCACCCTCACTTCAAACCCTGGCCTTTCCCTCTACACCACATGCAGTAGATGAAAACGCCGCATGCACACACACCCTCACCTGGGTAAAAGACCCCCATGTAGCCATTCAAAGGGCACTGGACCATTTCTTCTTCTTCTTCTTTTTCTTCTTCTTCTTCTTCTTCTTCTTCTTCTTCTTCTTCTTCTTCTTCTTCTCCTTCTTCTT